CACGAGCTAGGGGCGGGCGGAGGCGCGGACTATTTGTCGAGGCCCGGCGGCGGGGGCAGTGCGCGGTGCGGCGGTTCCTCTCAGTGCTTCCTGGAAACTCCCGCTCAGGAGGGGGCGGGGCGGCCCCCTCGTGCGGGGGCAAAACTCTAGTGGGCAGCACCCCCCGCCCTGATCTTGGGGCAGCCTGATGTGAAGCTCCACCCCCAGGACCCTTCTGGTCGGGGGGGGGTGAGGTGAAGCCCCCCCGTGACCTTTAGGATTGGGGGACCCCTGTCATTGAGGCGGACCCCTCATGACCTTTGGCCGTGGGGGGCAGGCTGAGGTGAAGCTCCCTGCCCTGTGACCTTTATGGCTGGGGGGGCCCCTGTCATTGGGGCAAACCCCCCCCCTTGGCCGTGGCGGGGCAGGCTGTGGTGGAGCTCCCTCATGATGATTGACATGGGAGGGGGGGCAGCTACTGAGAGAGGGTCTCGGTGACCCCCCCAAACTGCCCTGCTATGTGAGGGTGCAGAGTGGGGAAGCCAAGCTGGAGAGGGTGCCCTGGCCCCTTCCCTGCCTTGCTGGGGAGCCCCACGCGCCTCCTGGCAGAGCCGCCTCCACCCCCGTGCCGTATGGGAGGTGGAACAAGCTTCATACCAGGCTGCAGCAGCCGCGGCAGAGAGTTAATGTTAGAGCGGGGGGAGGGGAGGCAGAGTTTGTAAATGGAAACACTGGTACATGAGCGTTTCGCACAATCTGGCTGAAAGCTCCGACTGCAACGGGCTGAAAACCAAATCTCTCCCTTTGCTGCCCCCTGGCTGCCAACGTTGGCTATTATTCTCTAGGAGAAAAAGAAAGGATGAGGCACATAAACTCTTCACAAACTGCATCTTTCTGGCAACTTACGGTTTTGTGTAGATTGCAGGCCAGGGTTGGCGCCCGGTTGTGGGAAGATTGGACTGGAAAGGCCTCCTGCGTCATTTAAGTCCAGTCCCTGTTGTCTGCAAGCAACCATTGACTCAAGGACGCCGCTTCAAGATTGCCACTTCAAACCCTCGCGTACAACTGCAAGGCGCACAATCAGAAGTGCGAGGAAGATCCTCAGCATGCCATAGGTAAAAGCCAGGGAGACAATGCCGTTGCCAAAATGAGCATTGATGCTAGGCCTAGATACCTAGAAATGTAACATTATTCTCTTGAACTTCAACAAGCCTCCCATGCGCTCCTGGATCTCCTCGATACAGATGTTAAAAATAACCCCCGATGGTCATATCTTTCCTTCAATGAAGGATGGTAAATAATAATGCTATGCCTGACACACGCATGTTTCTTCGCTCGCTTTAAATACAGTGGGTTCCTCATCCACACACGTCAATTCCTCCTTACACCTGCAGCTCCCAAACAATAAACACGTTCTTCTCACTGGGCTAACACACATTAGGACACGATTTTGTGGAAGGCTTTCTGCAGACTGCAGGTACTCTGTGAACACACACAGAATTTTTACTCACAGCCAAAGGAAGGCACAGGAACTTGAATCACTATTAGGAACAGGACTCTGTCCCCATTATTAGGTTTGTACTGCAAGTTCCACTAAACTCATCGTAGTATGTGCCATCCTGGAAGACAAGCAGAACTTACAGCTTGAATATTAAATGAGAATTCAGAAGTGCCAGGACTCTTTAGGTTAATTCTATTTTGGATAGCTTTCATTACTTTGGTATCTGAGCACTTTATAATTTTTAGCATGTTTAGGCCTACCGTATCTTTGTGCTGGAAAGAAATAATGCCATTTTATAGGTGGGGACTGAGACAGACTTTACAAAGGTCTCACAGGGAGTGCGTCAATGCATAAACCCAAAAGTGGAGCTCCTGAGCCCTTGGCTGGCACACTAAGCACTGGACCAGACTTCCTCTCAAGTATTAATTGTGAATGATGCATCATTTCATTTCCTTTCTTTAAATTGCTTTTATTTATTTTTTTTAAAGCACATTTCCAGAGGAGAAGAAGACTGAAAAGTCAGAGCTAACAACCCTGGAAAAATGAAGAATAAAATAGGAAGGGAGGGAAAGCCTACTGATAGAGATACAGAGATGCACGCTCCAGGTAATCTCACTGACAGTAATTCTCAATTTTGTATTGCAGTGCCGTGCACTGAATATGAAGATTAGTTATTCTGCTCAACAGTCCAAAAATAAAGACCTTATATTCTCAGTCCCCAGCTTGTTGCCTTTTATAAGCCACTCTCTCCAGACACGTCAATTCCCATAGTCCACTGCTCCACTCCTTTAAGAGTAAAGCTGTTGGTTTTTTCTACTGTTGCAATGCTATTTTCTTAGCGATCAAATAAACCTTTTCTCTGCTAAATGTGAGAGTTTCAGTGATTTGGGGCTTCCACCCAATAAAAATAGGCAACATATAATGGAATTACCTGGAAAAGTAAGATTAATTCTAGCAAGCAGATCCTTCCAAATCCTATTAGGGAACAAGCATTTCCATGGAAATTGTTGTATGATGGAGTTCTCCTAGACGCTCAACATCTTCAGCAAGCATCCACTGCCTTTGGGCCAAGGCCGTGTATTCTAATAGAGACCCACTATAATCTACATGTAAATGTTGTCCAAGCTGATGATGAAGGCTAAACAAGATCCTGGACTATGTCCAGTAGACAATTTAGGTAACTATATGTTAGGCACTAAAACAGTAGCTTTTAGGTGCCTGGTCCCCAGAGGGGAATTCAAAACAGAGTTGGGTGGTAGGTACATTGAATGCGGAAAGAGGCTTCCCAGAAGGGTGATCCAAAAAACATACAGAAGAAGTGAGGAGCCATCTCAAGTTAGTAGGAAATACTAGGCACAAGAGTGTGCCTGAGCTCCTACTCCTCTCCAGAGCTTAGGTACCAGAGCCAGGGGCACAAGTTTAAACCCATGTGTGCTCACCCTCCAGGGCCCCTCTGGAGGTTAGATGCCTACATCTCCTGTTGGTAAGTATTGAGCAGGTCTCACTCTTCTCTTTTAAAATACAGGCAGAGAAGCTATGACCCACCTTTCCTAGTACCTTAGTGGTTACAGCATTCATAAGGAGGTGGAAGACCTGTGTTTTAGGCCTTCCTCACCCTGTGGGAGGTTAGACCCTAATGGCCTGGCTATCTACTAAGTTGGGTGGGGGAGCATTCTCCATCCCTGCTCTTCAATCTGTGCTGCTGAAAAGAAAAGAGTGCAAGGTTAAGCCCAGCTAAATATCCTAACAATCAGTCATAAATTAATAACTTCTGTCAGCAATGTTCTACCTACTATGCCATAAACAAATCGGCCAAACAAAGGATGGTGATGTATACCAGTGTGTTTTAGGAAATGTTTAACGTGCAGATTGTTTAGTCTGTCGACTTGGAGCTCCCATCCCTTCAAACGATGGCAGCAGTGGCATCAAATAGCTTAAATGAATGCACATAGATTCAGAAAAGCATAGAATTTCAGGTACTTCCCAATTCTGCATGATTAAAAACCTTTGTGAGCTTTAATGACTGGAGTTCATTGCTATTTCTAGTATCTGTTTTTCTGTCAGAGAAATATCTCATGTCTTTAGAACAATATTATTAGTTATATTACAGTAGCACTCAAAGACAACTGCATAATTCCAAAATACTTAAGAAGGACAGGAAGTGCACAGAAGACAAGCTTGGCTAAACACTGAGATCTTCAATGAGTTGAATCTCAAAAAGGAATCTTACAAGAAGTGAAAATTTGGCTGTATTACTCAGGAGGAGTATAAAAGTATTGCACAGGGAAACTGGGAGAAAACCAGGAAGGCCCAGGGTTACTTCCAGAGTACTGAAAGAATTAGCTGAGATAATTTCAGAGCGATTAGCTATTTTCTGTAAGAACACCTTGACAGCATTTGGTGAAATCTGATGTGCTGTGGCCTTGCTCTTCTTGCCTCTGGGATGAAGTAAACACAATGTTCATTTTTAAGAGAGAGAAGAAAGACGATAGAGGGAATTACAGGCAGTCCGTCTGTCCTTGATGCCTGTCAAGATCATGGAGCAGGTCATCAAGGAATCTGATTTTAAGCGCCTGTGGGAGAACAAGATGATTGGGAACAGCCAACATAGATCCAAGAACCAACCACAGCTGACCAACCTGGTTTCCTTCTATGACAGAGTGACAGTCTCTGGTTGGAGGGAGAGCAGTGGATGTGATGAACCTTGATTTTACTGAGCCTTTTGACCCTGTCCTTCCATTACATTCATATTAATGAGATAAAGAAATGCAGTCTGAAGTGCTATAAGGTGGATATGTAACTGGTTAAGAAAAGGAATTGCTTTTTAAACAAAACAGTGTTTGAAATGTTTCAGTATTTCCTGTGCAACTGATATCACGTGCCACATTTCAGTTCAGTGAGCGTTTTTACAGCCAAGTTACATTATCCAGAAAATAAAGGGAATGATAACTGAATTGCTGAGAGAACCTCATGGGTAGGCACGAAAAGCATCATTATAATCACACATCATTAGAATCATCACAGCCTTATTTGGATCTATCCTGGTGTTTCCCAGCCCCCTTGACATGCAAATTCTTGCTGAAGTTCTTAGCTAATTTCTCTCCGTCTTTGTTGCACTTAAATAACTTTAGTTTCCAGTCGGTTATTAGTGCAAAACATCTTATATCTCAATTTTTTTTACTTGACAAGCCTTTTGCTGCTTTCTTTCTGCCATGAAAGTATTAAAAGCTAAAAGTTTATCAGCTACATGTCAATAGTTTACCCATAAATGCCTTTCTTTGGTGCAAGTATAACCAGCCTGTCCAAAAAAATTGAGATTAAGAAACCTAATTTGATTATGCCAGGTCTTGTCTTCACAGTCCTATAAGCCAATTCAGGAGGAAGAAAGTTACCAAGCTGCCAAGAATTCATCACATCGTGGCACTGTTTCTTTTGTAATAAATGTAATTTAGTTGTTTAAATAATAAGGGAAGGGAAAATAATATAATTTTATCTGCATGCTCCATGACAACCATTCTTCTTGAATGATCTCAGGATTAAATTCTTCAAGGGGATAAGATGTCTACCACTGAGGAATTTATAGCACATCCTTATCCTGGGTGGAATCCTTTCCACTGCCAGCTGAACAGTTTACACTAACAGCAAGATGTCCCATTGCATGAGGGGGTTTACAAGGTTAAAAGATAAAGTATAGCCAAATAAAGAATGTAAATCCAAAAACACTGAAAGTGTAAGCAGAAGAGAAGAGAGACAAGACAGTGGCGCCCTGATGTGATTGATTAAAATTTGGTTAGATATTGTGATTTGAAATGAATGGCAGGAAACTCAAAGGTGCAGTTCTTGGAATAAACCATTTTAGACTTTTTTTAGTCACTTAAATCAGAACAGGTCATTGTGCTTCCAAACAGATTAGATATGCAAGCTAAGAATGAGTTATTTTTACATAGGTGTGTTTTTGCTATAACTGCACATGAGGGAAGAAAATTAAAGAAAGCTACGGTCATCAGCATAGAGTATTTGAAAGTTAGTATTTCGTAGATGTGCAAGTGCTAGCTCTGTACTAGGTCCATCTAACCCTGATGTAACACAATAAATCAATCTTGTTCTGTGGGTGAAACATGATCTGATACTGTGTCCAGGTTTCAAATGCTCTTTCCTGACTCTGGCAGTCATAACAGATATTCATTTACCTCATCAACAAGGAAAGCTGTCATAACACAAAAGCAAAGATGTTACATGCTATGCATCTGCCTCAATAATTGTTATTAATCATGTAGCTACAGTTCTTTTTT